GGCTCGGTGCGGGGCGAGCAGAGCGGCCAGAGGCGGCGGGGTGAAAAAAAAAAATAAAATGTAGAAGTGGGGTACGTGCTGGGGAAAAATAGCGGTCACTAGAGAAGGCCTCAAAACTCTGTATTTTAAAATGACCAAAAAAAGGGGGGGGAATGGCCTGCCAGTTTATGGTAGTGGGGCTAATGAATTTTCTTTCTTCAGGGTACTTGAAAGGAGCCCTGGAGAGTGGCCCTCAGAACATTAATTACTTGATCGGTGTGCCTGAGGTGAAAGCTTCGTGAGGGGCTGTCTTCTTTGAAAAAACAATGCATTCTCTAGCACAGAACAACCCCAAATATTTCAAAGATAAAAATAACTAGTACCTGTGATGGTGAAGAAAATCAGTTCTTGTTGAAGCTCAAAGTAATTGTACTGGAGTGTTCTGCTTTTATGCAATGAAACAACAAAAATGCTGAAGTTAATGAAGAGTAAGGGCAAGATCTGGCATCCACCCTGAGTGTACTTAGGCAACAAGGGCTCTTCAGGGCCAAGACCCTGCTGATGATTTTTTGGGTGGCTTGGAGAAAACCCCTGAGGGCAGGTCTGCACAGCAGGGATATTTAGCTGCAAAGGCCACAGAGAAGCCAGATCAGCTTCAGGCTTGCTGATCATGTGCCTAGTGCTTGTTTTCAAGTCACTGGAACTAAACCTGTGGTCCCTTCCATAGCTTCCCTGTTTGGTCCCTCTAAGCTGTCTGGCACTGAAGCTGCAGTGATGCACTTGGCCAGTATCTGCTGAGAGACAAAAATGATTTTTTCTGGCATATAGGTTATTTGTAAATGACATCCTATCACTCTATAGCACTACCATTAACTTTCTTTAAAGGGACTCTTTTTCTTCTGTCATTTTATAGAATGTCAGAAATAAAGAGCCTTATTTCGTGGTATGTCAGCAAGCTAAAAAACTGGCTAAATGGATGTTTCTTCAGAATAGCTACACACATATGCATGTGAGAGTACCTTTGGGTATAGACACCACAGAAATCAGGCAGGACCTGAGAACTCCCTCTACAGCACCATTAATTACAGGCTTTCTTTGATTTGCTTTCAGAATTTGAGGAAGAAGCAGCTGTGAAAAGGGGCCACAGGAAGAGGAAATGAACCTAGCCTCTGGCATAAAACAGGTTTCCCTGAACACCATTCCTAAAATAGGTTTAGACAAAGCAAAGACCCTGTGGTTCCTTGATTCCACTTGCAAATAGCCTGAACTGCAGTGATACACCTAAGATAGCTAGGAACGTATTTGTAATTTTATTGGTCAGGTTTTCCCCAACTTCTCAATTTTAGGGCTACTCCTTTCCCTCCTGACTGACACCAATATTTTTTCTGTGTACTTCATCCCAAAGATCTGTAGAACAGCCATTCCAGTTGCAAAGGATAACATGCACATCATCCATGTGACGCATTACCAGTAACCAATGGTATGATGCTTGTGCTTGATTAGATCTTAGGCACCAGGCACCATATGTGTTTATTGGGACAACTCTATGTGTTGAAAGCCAAACAAGCTGGTTGAAAATGTTATTTCATACACTGTTGAAACAGATTGATGATGACAGTCCCTGCTGGATGTGTAGGTATATCAGATACTGATGTTCTTTTCCATTCCTCTCAGGCTTGTTCAGAAGGACACATTATATTTGTGGGGAGCCTATGGTCCATGAAGATGCATCCTCCTAAGAAAATAATGTTATTAGTCTGGCTTATTGCAGAATATTTGAATCCAGTGTAAGATTTTCAAATGCAATTCACAGTTCAGATCCTCCCTTACTTCAGATTGGAGGAAAAAAAAAAGTTTAATAAAATGCTGTGCAATGTTGTAAGAGTGGGTCAGAAGATCAGCATTGTCTCAACACGGTCACTGGGGACATGGACAGAGAGATACCTGACAACGACCTGTTTGGAAAACAGTTGCTGATCCCAAGAGTGGAATGTGGTGCAAAGGCTCCTGAATACAGAACTGTGTGGTACAAAGAGTGCTGTGCTGTTCTTGGGAATACAGAACTGTGTGGCGTGAGTGCTGTGCTAGTCTGCGGACTACAGAGCCGTGCAGTACAAAGAGTGCTGTGCTATTGTTTGGTACCTGGGCCCAGCCGGAGCCATTAGAGATAACCGCATAGCCACTGTCAAAAAAGATGGATCGCAACTGTTGCCATAACATCAGTGAAGAAATCATGAACTTTAGATGAACTTTGCTTCATTATAATACCAAAACACACCTCCTGGTTGAAGGTTGCCCGCCTCCAAGACTGACCACGCCTTGGACACTCCCCCTCATGCATGTGTGGGAGCCTCGCTTGAGAAGGGCGGAGATATGATAATTGCATTCTGAGAAGGGCGGAGATCCCTGAGGCAGAGGAGGAGCAAGGTGTGTCACTAAGCATAAAAGATGACTTCTGGGCAACAAAAATTTGAAGCTTCCCCACCAAGAATCACCGCGACTGACGACGGAGCGCTGGCTGGACCTGGGACCGTTGGGGCGTCTAGAGATCAGCGGTGGTAGCTATAACCTCTCTTTCTCTTCTTTCTAAACTTTTCCCCTTTCTTTCACCCATCTCTAACTATTGTGTGCCGCTTCATGGGCAACACAATAAAGTTTCACAGTTTGATTGATACAATCCCCTTTAGTGTTGGTTGCCTTAATTTTGCACTTTCGAGATCATAGTAAACAAACCATCACGAGTCCACCGAGTGGACCGTGATATTAAACAGGCGTCACAGACAGGATCCCGAGAGACAGGGGGGTGCAGGTTGTGTGTGGTCTGTAACAGAGGAAGAACATTTCATTCCAGCCACACCTGGCCCTACATCCGAAAGGGTGAGAGGTGTCCAGAAAGCAAGGGGGGCGACTCGAAATTCCCGCACACCACACATACCTCAGTGTATTGCACCCCAATCTCAAATTGAGGGCTCTGTCTATCAGGATCAAGTACAAGGATCTCTTAGTGCAAAAGGGGGAACTGTCCTCAAATAGATGAGGTTGACTACCTGGGGAAGTTGAAGGGGCAAGCAGAGGAAGTCTGCAGTTGTGTGTAACTAAGTTTTAACTCCCCGTTGTAGCTTTTGGTCCCTTCAGTCACTCAGGGAAGAGAAGGGTGACGCAGTAGTTGCTCTGTGTGTGTGTGTGTAACTAAGTTCAGCCTCCTCGAAGTGAGTTTGGACCTTTTGTAATAAGAATGACTGAAAAGGATGATTATCAAGACTCTCCGTTAGTGAAAAATCTTAACTCGTTCTATGCACTCTTGGCAAAGTATGGAGCTCGACCCTCCCCACCTGGGGAAGATTGGGCTCGAGATACCTGGACAGATTTGCAGAGTGTAACAGACCGAGTGATTTCTTTACAGGATGAGTCTATCTGTGCAGTTCTAGGAGCCAGCCTGGTTGCAGCAGTTGAAGACCGCTTTAAGCGGCGTACTAATGAAAAACAAATCATAGAATCTCTTGAAAATTTGGTGCAACTTTTTCAGAAAACAGTCTTCAACCTGGAAGAGCAGTTAGCAGAGAAAGAGAAAGTAATTTGCTTGTTAAAACAGCAGATAGAAGAAAAAGAGGAGATAGAGGAAGAAAATTATTTGTTAAAAGATGCCTTAAGAGAAGAATATTCAAAGACTGCTGAATCATTGGGTGAGGTACAAATGAAGATGGAGAAATTTGGTATTCAGCAAATAAGCCCAATATATCCCCAAAAGGAACTAAAGGAAGCGAGGAAATGTTTCAGGGAAAACCCCCAAGTGAGACCTTTGATTAAAGCAGAATATGCTTATATAAATGACGAGGATAATGACCCTCATATTACAACTAAAGAGATACCATATACTCTCACTGAATTGGCCAAAATGAAAAGAGTATATGGACGCCTTCCTAAAGAATCTGAAATGGAGTATGTGTGGCGCGTATCCCTAACTGGGGGGGACCAAATTCAGTTAAGTGAAAAAGAAGCAATTGGTTACTGGGGTCCCGGCGTCTTTTTAACAACAGGGGATGGACGTGCCCCATGGTCCCTAACCCAGCGGGCTGCTTATTGGGCCGGAGGCTTGACCCCTTTGGACAGGGGGGATCCCCTGGCAATCACTGGCACAGCTGATCAATTGCTAGAAAGTGTACACAAAGCAGCCTGCCTGCAAATGATACATGAAAGGAAGTTAGTTCCTGGATGCGAATCTCCAATGATGCTGCCAGTGGACCCTGAAATCATGACTCCTTTGATAAGGGGACTGCCAGAGTTGCTTAAATCTATGGGGATTGATCTCCAAAGGACCATCGCGTCATTAGGCCCTGCAGAAAAGCTTGAGAGCTTTCTGAAAAGCAAGAGAGATGAAAATAATGCTTACACAGATTCACCTTTTAATCACAGCTCAACTCCTTCCCCTTCAAATCTTAAAAAGGTGTGGACATGGGGAGAGGTAGCACTGGAACTGATAGACTGTAGTAGAAAATATGGTCCTGTGAAAACTCTGGAGGAGAAATCGATAGGAATCCATCAAGTAGGAGCTAAAGATCTACCCCTTTTTGCTGGTAAAACTGACCACGCTGCTGTTGCTGACTGTTCCCGCTCTAAAATAGGCAGGGGAGAACAGCCTGTGACTCGACAACAATGGTGGGCTTTGGGAATTAAAAAAGGTGTTCCCAGGGATATAATGGATGGTTTACCCACTGATAAGCTGAGCAAATTGGTATCAAAGTGGTGTAGTCCTAAACAACAGCCACGGAACTCACAGAAGAAAAAAGAAATCTCTCCTGTCATGCCCATGGTCCCCCGCCATGGAGGACACAGGCGACAGGAAAAGTGAGCAGGGAAACAATACCTCCATTCCCCAGTAGTGGGTGGGGGAATGGAGGATGGATTTACGCCCGGCAGCTCACTAAAACTAATAGAGGAGATTTATTGATTACAGCTATTGTGGGTCCTAAGTGAACACCTGTAACCTGATACTTTAATAAATTGATATTGGTGCACAGATCTCTGCCCTGACTGAGGAAGATGCACAGAGATGTGGGGGAATTCCCTCTAAGTGAAGCATTTGTGTCCAGAATGCTTTAGGGTCAACAGAGGTAAAGCTGACGTTGCCGGGAGAGGAAAACACAGTCACTTGGTCATGGTAGTTGGGGACATTCCAACTGACTTGTTAGGAATGGATGCCCTTAAACGAAGGGTTTGGGAGGACTCAGAAGGATTGTTGTGGACTTTTGGGACACCGCAGCTGAATATCAGGCTACTTCAAACTACACCCCCTCTGCCATTTAGCAAAGTAACTAATGTTAAAAAATATCCCCTCTCCCTGGGAGCAAAGGAAGGTATCAAACCAGTCGTGCATGAAATGGGGGAGCAAGGAGTGGTGATAAATACCCATTCTCCTTTCAACTCTGGTGTGGCCAGTGAGAAAAACCTAATGGGAAGTGGAGGCTCACAGTAGATTTTTGGAGGCTGAATGCTAACACAGAGCCTCTAACTGCCGCAGTCCCTAATATGGCCAAACTGGTAATAACAATTCCAGAGAAAGCTCATCCAGTCATGGCAACCATTAACATTATGTTAAAGATATGTTTTTCATTATACCTTTGTGACCAGATGACAGAGATCGTTTTGCTTTTATGTGGAAGGGAAACAATTTACCTTCACCCAGCTGCCTCAGGGATACAAACGTTCCCCTACTTTAGCTCACCATGCTTTAGCTCAAGCACTGGAGAAAATACCGAGAGCCGAAGGCAGAGCTGTCTGTCGGTATATTGATGATATTCTCGTTGGGGGAGATAAAGATGAGGAGGTGGGGGCAACCTAACAGAATATAATCTTTTATTTGGAGAATTTGGGTTTGCAAATTCCCCCATAAAAGATTCAAAAGCCCTCACAAGAAGTAAAGTTTTTTGGAATTTGGTGGAAAGGGGGAATGACTTGTATCCCACTGGGCACCCTCACTTCCCTAGATCAGATTAAAATGCCTGAATCAAAAAAGGATTTGCAACATGCTTTAGTTATTGATGTTCTGGAGGAAACGCATCCTGGACTTTTCTATCATTGACAGACCTGTCTATGATTTGCTGAGAAAAAGGGCCAAATGGGAATGGACTGCTTCTCAGGAAGAAGCAATGTAATTGTTAATTTTTGAAGCAACAGCTCACCAGGCTCTTGGCCCTATCCACCCTACAGACCCTTTTCAGGTAGAATGGGGGTTTGCCACAACCAGATTTTCAGTACACATTTGGCAATGTGGTCCTGAGGGTCCAGCCCACCCCGTGGGATTTTACTCTCACAGCTTTAAGGATGCCGAGAAGAGATATACTGCATGGGAGAAAGGTTTTTTTGTGGTTAGCCTGGCTCTCATAGAAGTGGAGAAAATTACACATCAGCAACCAGTCGTGCTAAGAGGCCCGTTCAAAGTTCTAAAGGCAGTCGCTAGCAGGACCCCCCCTCCTGATGGGGTGGCCCAGAGAGCCTTGGTATGAAAGTGGTATGTCCAGAGTGAACACTATCACAACCTTTTCTCAGCGACTGAAGGAGCTTTAAAAAACTATAGCTATCCAAAAAACAGAGAGCCTGGATGGCAGCCAAGACAAACCTTTCTCAGTCATTTGAGTGGCCCCTCCTTTTTCCCACGATCAATCAGTGAATGCTTGGTTTACCGACACTTCTGCAAAGCGAGAAGGGAAAGTGTGGAAATACCAGGCAGTAGCTCTCCACACTATTGCTGATGAACAGAAAATAACAGAGGGAGAAGGGAGTGCCCAGGGAGAATTAATTGCAGTATGGAGCGTTTTCCAGTGTGAAGCACAAACCATCTCCTCTGTCCACATTTACACTGATTCCTATGCAGTGTTTAAAGGATGTACTTGAATGGCTCTCTTTCTGGGAGCAAAATGAAAGGGAGGTTAACAGAACTCCAGTGTGGCAAAAGGACAAGTGGCAAGAAATCTTAAGCACTGCTAGCCAAGGGAACTTTGCTGTGGGATGGGTAGCTTCTCATCAGGTAGATGGGGGCTCAGCAAGGGAATGGAATAACAGAGCTGATGAATTAGCAAGACTAGCTCCTGTACAAATGACCAGATAATTCTGGGAATCCAGCTCACTTCCCAGGACAACCCATTTTGGTAGAACTTCCCACCATGGGAAGTGTACCACTCGTACTAAAAACCCCACTGAATGTATATCCATGGGTAGCTTCTGATGGCCTCGGGAAGGAGCATCAGATAAATACTCACTGGGTAATTCCATCATTCTAATTTTCTGTCTGGTTTTAATTTTTGCCTCAGGGAGGCAAGTTCTGTTGTTTTATTGTTGCAGGAGAACTCCGAGGGATGCCAAGAATAGCATGGATCATGAATCTTTAATTGGATTGGTAGTACTTTTCTGCATCTTACCACTAACCTGTAACCAAAAGAATACAGAATGGCCATGGTCCCAAGCTACCATCAAGCATACTAGCACTCTGGGACAGTATCCCAAAGACCGTCTCCCAAGCTTAGCCACTGTAGTACAGCATGATACTGAAGTGTACCATCCCCAGGAATGGGAATGGGACAGAAAAGATTCGGTCCATGTCCTGACCGGAACTATTGGAGAAAAAATTCAGGTGGGATGCAGAAAAGTGGAAGGATCTCTTCATGAGAAAGCCTCCTCAATTACCATCTCTGGAAATCTATTGGATCCAAATTCCAACATCACTGCAGAACTCTGTCCTACTACAGAATGGAAATGTAGCAAACAGGATTCTCTCATTACGTGTTGCCGTCAAAAGAATGTCGGTAACTACAACTTAGACCCAAGTACCAACAATGTTGAAATCACCAAATTCTGTATTAAGGAACAAGGAGATTGTTGGTATAACTTCACTTTGACTAAGCCAGTCTATGTGGTGTGCAATTGGCAACCTTATCCATTGGCAGGAGGCCTATCAGGCCTAACATTTAAATTCAGACTAAATGCTATGACTAAGCCTCCAGTGACACATGTTGCAGTAGTCACACACCATGGTATAAATACCCTCTTCACACTGACAAAGATGAAGTTATACCCTCTTTTACAGTGGTACAAGGAGCGACATCGCAATAAGATGCAGATTGATCACTGAATCCCTCATTGAACCCACAAACAGTTATGGAACTGGACCACATGGCCCTGTTTTGTTGGGTAAAATTCAAAACCTAGATTGTTGGCTAAATTTGACTGCTGTACATTACTCCCATAAAGTTATGCATGGCAAAAATAACACTAAATACTGGGGAGAACTCAAAAAGATGTTGTAATACCTACTATCCAACCAACTGTTGTGCTTAGCCCAAAAATTTGGTTGTGCTTAGCCCAAAAATCTTTGGAATTGGACCACATGTAATCAGAAATACGAGCCAACAACAAATGTTGTTTAACCTGGCATGGTCTCTCAAATGAGTTGAGTTGATGATGCAAAACAATGTTTTGGAAATTCAGCCAGCTTGCTCACCTTTCCTAAAGGCTTTTTATGAGGGATGGACAAACTGGCTGCAAAACCAAACTCCTCACACAAGACAAACACAGAGAGACCTAACAGGTGTTTTGGGGACAGGATTGGGAGTTTTAAATAGTATCGATTTGGAGGTAATAATGAACAAATTGGCTACCTCAATTAGCGATTTGACTAACTTAGAGCAGCCTTTGCGATCTTCCTTATTGGCTTTGGGGACTAACCAGTGGCTGTTGTCAAATATATTACCAAAATGGGAAAAAATAAATGTAAAGAACCACGAATTGATTGCAGACACATTTGTTGTGATCCAAAATAACCTTTCTTTGGCTCTCAGTTGTATTCAGGCTCAACCGTGGATGCATTCGGTAGCTGCCTCAATTATGATAAGGTGAAGAAGGCACTCTCCCCACTGAAATTTGGAAAAATAATTTGGGACAGTGCCACTAATTTTGAGAGGAAACTCCAATCCTGGTGGAATCTGGTAACCTTTACCTATGACCCCATCACAAACACAGCTAAAACCTTTGTGCTTACCATATATATAATGCCACCACACACTCATTGCACTAGGGTTGAACGGTAATGGAACTATACTCTATCCTCCAAGAGCATAGAGTATGGGCCCAAAAGGTGAAAGGTGGATGAAAAATGGCAAACTGTCAATTTTGAATCTTGCATTGTACGGTAACAAGGATTTATCTGTGAAGGCAGTGTGATTAAAGCTCAAAATACTTTGTCCAGTATCTAAACAGATATCTTGAGCTTTAATTGTATTGCCTGCTGCCTGCACCCACTGGGATGAATCTCACTTTGGTAAAGCAATTAATACAAGCATTTGGTAGAGATTTTGGAAAAAAATTAGGGAAAATGGGCAGAAAACCTTAATAACTGTTCACCATAATGTGAGAGAAATACAACGAGTTTTGGAAAGAGTGCAAAAGGGTGCAGAACGTAAGTGGTGGGACACACTTTTTGGATGGTTGCCTACTGCTGCAGGCATCCTGAACAAGCTGTGTCACCCCATCATGGTTCCCTTGATATTGGTTTTGTTCAGTTTGGTTTTGTCAGCAGGATTGTATGTCATAACCTGGAGAATGATGAATCAGTTATCAGTTTGATGTCTGTATTGAAAACACATAGTATGCTTGATGTCCCATCCAATGTGGATATCCCCAAATCAACTGATGTTTAAAAAAAAGTTGTTTTTTTTTTATACAAACAGCTTTGATTGTAATTGTTTCAACAATTTAAATTTTATAAACTGTTTGATCACTGTTATTTCCTTTTTTTTCTTCTCTCCCTCTCTCTCTTTCTTTTGTTTTTCTTCTTCTTAACTGTGCTACCACCATGAGCTCCTGACATCCTGAGGTCCTGATGTTCACATTGAGCTGGAGGGTGGTGCAAGAGTGGGTCAGAAGATCAGCGTTGTCTCAACATTGTCATCAGGGACATGGACAGTGAGGTACTTGACAATGGCCTGCTTGGAACACAGTTGCTGATCCTAAGAGTGGAATGTGGTGCAAAGGTTCCTGAATACAGAACTGTGTGTTACAAAGAGTGCTGTGCTGTTCTCCTGAGCACTGACCGTGTGGTGCAGGCAGTGCTGGGCTGTTCTGTGGTGCCTGGGCTGTCTGCTACAGAGTGCTGTGCTATTGTTTGGTACCTGGGCCCAGCCGGAGCCATTAGAGATAACCGCATAGCCACTGTCAAAAAAGATGGATCGCAACTGTTGCCATAACATCAGTGAAGAAATAATGAATTTTAGATGAACTTTGCTTCATTATAATACCAAAACACACCTCCTGGTTGAAGGCTGCCCGCCTCCAAGACTGACCACGCCTTGGACACTCCCCCTCATGCATGTGTGGGAGCCTCGCTTGAGAAGGGCGGAGATATGATAATTGCATTCTGAGAAGGGCGGAGATCCCTGAGGCAGAGGAGGAGCAAGGTGTGTCACTAAGCATAAAAAATGACTTCTGGGCAACAAAAATTTGAAGCATCCCCACCAAGAATCACCGCGACTGACGACGGAGCGCTGGCTGGACCCGGGACCGTTGGGGCGTCTAGAGATCAGCGGTGGTAGCTATAACCTCTCTTTCTCTTCTTTCTAAACTTCACTTTTCCCCTTTCTTTCACCCATCTCTAACTATCGTGTGCCACTTCATGGGCAACACAACAAAGTTTCACAGTTTGATTGATACAATCCCCTTTGGTGTTGGTTGCCTTAATTTTGCACTTTCGAGATTGTAGTAAACGAACCATCACGAGTCCACCAAGTGGACCGTGACAAATACTCAATTCTTTTCTGTGTCTAGAGAAAATGCTTGGATCACCTGTTTCTGAGTATTACAAGAGTATTTTCTATGCTAGCATGATGAAAATAAACTTGGAGATTGAAAGCAATGGATTTGAGTTTTCTACTCAAGACCTCTTAATGGGAAACAGCATGTTATCCTCAGTTAACCAACAATGTGGTAAATGTTATTGTGAAATAATAAAAGCAAAGGCTTTTCTCTAGCAGCATTGAATCATCTAACAAAAGATATGAAATACTTGCAATGTTAAAGTAATGAATTGCACAACTTTTGAAACATCAGCATCAGATAATATCTCAAATTTTACAACCTGAATTTTTATCCCAACTTAAGCAAGATGTATAAAGTGAAGTTTATGATTGTTATATCCTTTAGCTGTACCATCAGGGCCATCATTTCTAAACCTGGAATTTATTTGCCTAAATAGATTGCTAGGATTAATGTGGTATGATTTTGGTTCAGCATTACGAGCATCTGGTTTTTTTTTCTGGAGATTAAACATATAAAGCAGTAATGTGGTTTTCTGGCCCATTTTGTTACCCCTGGTTATGTTGTGTGGTTTCTCAGACTTCTACAGACTCAGGTGATGGCTGGAGAAGATTCTCACTTGGCAGAGGCCTAAGGAAGGATTCTCTGGACAATCTAGTGAGTAAGCCTCACCACAGGAGTGATACCTTGCCTAAACATATAAGATATAGACTGTAAATCAAGGGGCTGTTTTATAGCTTTTCTCCACTGGAAGAGGAACAATCATTAATGTTCTTTATGTCCAAAATATTTCACAAACACGATGCAGCCTTCAGCATAAAGAACGTGCCCGCTCACAAAGAACCTTAGCCCATTTGTACTAAGTTTCCTTACTCACAGGCTCTTTCTTCAGCAGTATAAGGCCATCTCTGCTTCAGGAAAGTGGAAACCAGAGAAAGGTGTTAAGAAGGTGTATCTTTTAGAAAGCTTTGTTCCAGTTACTGCTGAACAACTGTGCATAAATTATTCAATAATATAAATCAATACAATTGTTTCCAAGGTAATTCTGAGTTCCCTTTCTTACATGTAGGAGCGGCCTTCTTGTCTCTCTAAGAATGTTTGCAGAAAGAAGGCATCACAAATGCTCACATGAATAAGAAAAATGATCCTGATTATTCCAAGATTTTTGTCAGGGAGGAATCCTTTTATTAAATGAGAGTTTGGAGACAGATCTCACAGCATGAATGCAGAATGAAAACTCCAGTCTGCACCCATGCTGAATAAGCTGTTATAATCAGAGCCTGAAACTGGCTTGGAAAAAATACTCTAAGAAAGGGAGCAGCAAGAGCCAGCTGTGTCCTAAGAGAAGACAAGCCAAAGGGGAGCACAGCATGGGCCAGGAATGATCTTGCCACCAGGCCAGAGGCCCACAGCAACCCTGGCCAGATGGTGACAGCAACAGGTCCCGTTGCCAGTCCACACTGATCATCAGACAAAAGCAAAGTATCAAGGCCAAGGTCAAGCCACTAAATCTAAACAACAGTTCAGGAACACGACTGGAAACAGGTACACCCACAACATACCTCAGGGAAGAACTGAAGGCCAGGCCTGAGCTTAAATGAAGCTTCTAGGCCCCTGGGCAGAGGGTGTGATGGAGGCCCCATGGGTCTGTTCAGGGCCATCTGCTGCGCTCAGGGCCCTGACAAACTAACAGCTGGAAACACCAAGTCCTTTTGCAGGTGGCTTGTGAGCAAAGGGGGTTAAATTTCACATTCACCAGCTGTATTATCATTTTACTGTGTATCTATATAGGTTAAACAAATAAAAGGTGCTTCTGGAAGACATGATGGATACAGCATTTGTAAAATAAAACACTTGAACAAAGCAGGCTGTTTAGAGTAGTCAGAAAGCTAATGTTCACCCATAAAATGAGTCAAATATCTCCCTGTCTAAGCTATACTGCAGGATGCCCAGCACTAGGAAATTCAGAAATGTTAAAATTTTTACATTTTCACCTCATGTGGAAACTCCAGTATTAATTTGTTTATCCATGTTCATGGTCTTTAGAACTACAGAAGTCCAGCACATACAAATATCAACTGAAGCTATTCATACTGTGATACAAATTCATATAATGAAATAAAATGTTTTTCATTATACAAAGGATAGCTTATTTCTTCAGTGGCTATCATTGTAAAGATTGACAATATCCCCACTAGGTAAAAAAACAGGATTACACTTCTCTACAGCTGGGTATGATAGAGCACAGAGAGTATTTTATCCAAGGTCAAATGCTGAGCTCAGGGTCACGCACAAATCATGGGGTAAAGATGGCTGTAAAGTCCAACTGAAGTTCTAACCTGCAGTTCAACTTTACCATTTGATCTCCCTGACTAAACTATTGTAGTCTTCCAGATATGCAGGGGTTTAAAATCAGTACAGATCATCACGTATGCAAGCCAGGCAACCTCATTCAATAATGAGGACAGCTGACAGTTACAGACTGTCAACAGGGAATGCCACTTACATAGAGAGGTCACTGCTCCTTGAGCAACCCTAGTGCTCATTCTATAGTGAAATAGGATTAGACCTTTTAAATCACAACCTCATCTTGCAATACAACGAGGAGCTCCACCTGGGGAGCCAGTTTTTAATTACAGCAATACTGAACAGTCGTCCACAATGTCGTATTTCCTGGCAAGTTTTTGAGTGTCCCAGAGAGTCAGGGATGATTTCAGTGCAGCCCCATTCCCACTGAATGCTTACGATTTTCTTTAGCTCAAATTCTACTAAAATCTAAAGAGCTCTTCAACTTCGTTGGATCTGAATTACTATCCTGGATATTTCTGTGATAGCTCTCGATTTGCTGTCTCCAGTCCTGATCCTACCAGGTACTAAATACCTTCAACATCTACATTCCACTAGGTTCTAATACATGTATGTAATAAGCCATTTTCAGACGTTTTCAGTTTGCTGATCCCCGTTTTCCCATGGAAATGCAGCTGCCAAGAGCAAATAGAAGCCTCCTGACAGAAACATTTGCCACATTATCTTGCCAAGGCCCTGTGGAAGTAACTGAACTCCAAGGTGAAAAATCATTAACTTACAGCCTTGTGCAAGACTTTAAAACTAAGTTCACTGTACTGACCAGGAATCAAATGAGATGTGTCACACAATGCAGAGAGTAAATGGTATTTCTTCACTACAAATAGGAATAAAGACACAAATAAAGGATGCTCTTCTGCAGATGCTAATGGCCACCCAGTCTGGGTGGTATGCTGGTGTTCTGGTTATGTTTCTTTTACCCTTATGGCAAAACCAGATGTTAGATATATTTCCATTGTAATTCTCCATATTGCCTCCCAGCAAGTATGTGCTAACAATGAAACCATTGTTCCCTCTTAAAGCCTATAACTAATTACAAGTGTGGGCAGACTGGTTCAACAAGATAATAAAGCCTGGAATATTTGCTCAAAGATTCTGTTCAGAATGCATCTTTTGCTAACTGGGAAAGCAGTCAAGATCTCTTCAAGAAAAGTCCCACTGTCCCACATCTGCAGCTGATTTACGCACACACCCCTGGCACGGCAGTCACGCGCCCACACCAGCCTGTAGATCTGTTGATCTGTTCTTTTGGGAATCTTTCATTTCATTCCCAGCTAGCTCACCTGACAGCTACTTGCTGCATATCACTTTACTGTGAAATGCAAATTGTTTTTCATAAATAAAGTGCAAATATTGTGTCCTGTGAGGGAATGAGTGACTGACTGATCCCTGCAGGCTACCAGGCATAACAAAATCCATATACCTGTATTTTCTGGCAGGCTATCAAACTACTTAAAATTACTTACAAGTGTATTAGCTTTATAGATAGTGTGGCTTGACTTTATAAAGGTAGAGTTGCAATAACTGTTCTTTTGCCTTATCTATTCCTCAGAGCACTTAAGTTAGAGAAAGATAAATATGATGCAGTCATCGCTTACATCTGAGGTTCTGAAAATAGGAATGGAGATGTGCATTTATAAGAAATTAATTTTGTGAAAGAACTGATTTTTACTTGTAAAATTTTTCATATTTATTGAATAACGGTTATGGTTTTCATAAGGCTTTTGCCCTCTTTTCTTCCTGGGACATTTCAGAAAGTTTGGCAATGCTGTTTGCAGTTTATTCTGGAAATGGTCTACTTAAGCTCAGTGAGTCAAAAATCTAGACTCAGCACCAGTTTCCTAAGACTGTCTGGTCACTTTGTATGCATCCCAGCAATATTTCCTCTCAAGAGCAGTGCTGAGTTAGCAGATTTTTATTCCAATTCACTTTATCATCCCTGTTAATATCTTGCCAAAACAGAATAACTAGTTAGCCACTATGTTATTCACTGGGTTACACCGCAGAGCACTTAAAGACCCGAAGTGCTACACAGCTTTTGAGCCATGTCTGTACCTGTGAACATCACCAAACTTGTTCTCCCTGACAGATACACAGTATGTATGTGTGTAAGCACTGAGGATCCATCTCAAGTCTCCCTCCCCTTGACAGAACACTGCAAGTGCAGTAAGTAGAGACACAGAAGCCTAAACTCTTCTGACTAGTGGAACTTGGGTAATCCCAGAAGTCACCAACTCAGATGTCTCAAGCTAACCTCACAAAATCCTGATCTACCTTGGCTACTCTTACTGCCACATAATAGATATAGTACAGACCTTTTAAAAATGGCATTATGGTTTTTTTCATTTGCACTGAAAATGTTAACACGGAATATCTCAGTAATAAGTATTTGCACCAATCACACCTGCACTGTGGGGGTACAGACTAACAGTAGTCATAAACACAATACGACTTCAAAGGGTTTAGACTACTGAAGCCATGCTATATTTCCAGAGGATAAACTACTGCCATTTTTAACAACAAGGTAATAATTTGTTTTTTGTGTTTGTTCTCCTGTTTGCTCAATTTCTAAAGTGCAACCTCTGCTACCGCGGAGAGAAAAGGAGTCAGTCACAGAATAAGCTCAACTTGGAAGCAATTCTAGGTAGCCTGAAATGCTACTGCAGGTAGCCTAGTGCTGAGCCCACAGCTGGGTTCATGCTGCTGAGAACCTCCTGTGCTTTGCTCACTGCACTGAAGATGACAAGGCCATGGTATTTTAAAGGTAGGGCTCCCTGGCCCCAAGCTAAATGTTCCTCTAAAGACCACCATACTCTAAAATGAAATTAATTTTATTCTGTTCAGTACCTGCTGTGACATGAACTGTACATCTGCCTGACCTTCTCTAATTGAGCCATTCTCCTCTTTATGCTAAGACTACAACTAGCACTAGATAGAACCACAGCACATAATTTTTTCACCAAGCTTTCCAACCTCAACCTTCCTTCCTGAAGGGAAAATGGTGTGAAAGGACCCTTTTAAAAATGCTCCTTTCTTCACATATAGCACCCTCTACCACTTCAAACTCTGTACCTTTCTTTTAGTTGCTGCCTTTTAATCTCACTAGGTGCTTTTTATCTGCTTTATTCCCACCTAAAAAATCCCTAAGGATCCCTAAGGAAAGCGTGAAGGTAAAAAGAAGTGACCTAGTTAGAGGAAATTTTTACACAACTTTCCAAAGACAGTTTCTCTTGACTGATTTGTATTGGCTTAGGTACTTGTTCAGACAGGTACAGGTGTACATTATAGAAATATCCTTTTTACTTCCACCCAGTTCTAGAGATCTGGGCATAGAAGAGGGAGAAGGGAGATGCTAAGTTAATCAGAAAGAGAAAAGCCAGTATACATGGCTTACAAGATTCCCAGTAAGCTCCCACAGGCAAATTCAAATTACTAATTATTAGATATGTTTTTCCACAACTAAAAATTTTCAAGTTACAGGAAAAGGATCAAATACTTGTTAATTGTGTTCATGCTCTAATTTTCACAGCTGGGCTGAAATTCAGGATCAAGACAGAGGGGGAGCTAGTATTAGATCTAGACATCAGCATGCACGTTCCTTTCATGTTATTCACTGTCATAACAAAAAAAACAAAACCAAAAACCCCAAGCTCAGCTGACCTCCACTGAGTGGAGAAGCCAGAGATATTCTGATTTAGAACCTGACTTAGACTAAAGCCTAAGTTAGGTTTGGAGCTGTGTCTTTGTAACAAAGCCCAGGACAGCTTAGCTTCTGAAATTCATTCAGTCATAAGTGGTGATTTATGTCAGTGACACTTATCAGTGTGGTCATAAGGTGTTTTGCCAGCACCCGTACATACATATACTTTAAAACCTGTATTTTGGGGAGGTGTGTTTGTGACACGCTTGAAATCGAGACTGGTTATTTTTACCACCAGGAAGTTCTCTCCATTAATGGAGAAATCTTGTGTTGCTGCAAACATGGAAATTTGGACAGTGCCCCCTTCCCTCTTTGAAAAGCTATAGAAAAAGAAGTTACCTACACTCCATGCATTACATCATATTAGTGCAATAGGAGGGGCTGCTTTAGAGAGGAAAGCAAATGCCCTATATTGAGAGAAAAGACTACTCAGTTTTCAAATACTGGTTTGGTTTGGTTTTCATTCCAGTTTGCATGAGGTTTCCTGTTCCCTATGGATTTCCAAAGGCAGATTTTGACCTGTGGATTCTACACCCCATGCTGTGATCCTGGCCTTTCCTGTAAGCTACGGAACAGATGGGATGAGTTTGGGAATTGGGTGGGAGCCTTCTGATTAATCCCTTAGGATGTCCCCTGTGAAAAGTTTAAGGTGTTTGAGCAAAAGACAATGCACAATCCTGAATGAACTCCCAGAGTACTCTACTCACTGCTTTATGTAGAGTTTAAGAGATTAAGCTCTACATAAATTTTGAGATTAAAACCACGTTATTAGTCCACCCTGAAGTTTCAACTGGGCACCCTTCTTTCCAGCTCAAAACACAAGCAGGACACATGCTGCTCTCCACTGCTGAATGAAAGTGGAGCCATAATAACCCATTTGCTAAGATCTTTTAACACACTGCTTCATACTAAGTGGGTTTTCCATTTCATTTCTGAAATAAAAGTACATTTTTCCACCTGGAAGGTGCCAAGCAGCACACTTACCTACACCAGGTACACTTACCCTGGGAGAGCTGAGGCACTACCCATGTGTGCTTTAGCACTGGCCATGGAAACACCAGTGTCTGCCACCTGCAACACGGCCTTGGCCACGTGGCTCCACAGCCCCACTCCCCCTGTTCACAGGGGTGATACCTTGTGTCATACGATTTACAGAATCAAAGTTTTGAAAATAATTAGACAATTGAGCTCATCGGCCTCATGTAGGCTGAACAGACATAAATGCACATCAGGCAAATGCAATGAACTGTTCTACAGTGACGATGGGGCTTTCTCAGTGCTTCCTTCTTGAATTCCCCTCTCCCTCACTCAGCAAGTAGTTCAAGGAAAGTGTGTGCAATGCAGCTCAGTCGGCTTGATTTTTTTTTGCAATATAAATATGAAACTTCTCTTTCAAGCTACATTTGCGCACCGAGAAAGAAAGGAAAAGTTTAATTGTATCCCCCATCCCAAGACGACGGGGTCATCTGCTGTCAGCCAGCAGCAGCAGGCCTGCCCTCTGCAGTCACAGATATCAAAGCCTGCCAGAGCCATGCCTCCGGGGGAACAGAGGCTTGGATTTCAAGATGAGCCCCACCAGCCTGGGAGCAGACTGCACGCCTAAAAGATCTATTTTGTTCCCAGTAAAAATATTTTGAAATTTCATTTCCAATATAATAACTTACTGGTAGTATTTTCTGTAGTGATGGGTATGGCTCAGACCAGAGCAATGAAACACTGAAACAATGTCCTGATGTTAGCATTTATATCCCCCAAACAGCTAGCCCCCAAACCCTGGAAAAACCCATTAATTTCTTCTTCTATTTAAACCGTTAGAATTTAGTAGAACGCTGAAGGGTGCCTGCTTTCAGTGTTGCTCCTCGGGTGGTTATGGCTTTCCAAACAGCCTCTTTTGTTGGGTCAGTGCTAGAGCTGCAACTTGGCTGGAAGTGCCAAAAGCAAGTTACCAAGGTCAAGAGAAAGAAATATGAAACTTAACAAGTGTTTGGAGCAGTCCATACAGCTTGAGGAGGTGACAGGACTAAGCACTTAATATAAAGATGAAACACAGTGAATAAAGTAGATGCCCTTACCACTGTTAACAAAATAGTTGTTTGATTCAAAACAGAATTATGGAGATTAGAAACATTTTTACTGAAAATGAGTGGTCTGGCATATAGTTCCTGGTTAGAAAAAAAATAATTACCTTATAGGCAGATACAGAAATTATTTGCTTTTTTAAATCATGTATTTGACCTGAATATTTTTTAAAAGAGAGAATTCCCAGATTTGTAAACTAAGGCTCTCTGCAAGGTTTTGTCCTAACGCTGTCAGCCGAGGTGTATCACAGGGTCCAAGCCACTGAAGTTACAGTAGAGAAAACCTGGGGCTGACCGACTGTATCATCATCCCCCCCCGTTTAGTTCTATTTCCCTCCCGGGAGATGGACAGAGCCCTAATCCTCCAAACGAGGATGATGAGTTGTAGTGGCTGTGAAGTTTTACTTTGCTGCCTGTGAGAGGCGGCGATGAGAAAACGCCGGACCCAGAGGAACGGAGAGCGTGTCCCCCCCGGGTGCAAGTGAACTCAGACAACGTCTACATCCCCCGTACTGAGGTCGGCCACAGCTTCTCAGGAAACACCGGACTTTAAAGGACTTCTTTCCCTCTTCTAGTCGTGGAAGTCCGCCGCGGCGGCGGCTCGGGGCGCGGCTGAGGGAGGGGAAGGGCGGGAAGCGGCTGGCTCCG